GAGTACACGAGCCAGAGGTGGATGGGATGGACGAAGATGTGGAATCTTAAAATACCACCAAAAATGAAGTGCTTTATTTGGCAGGTGATGGATGACGGGATGTCTACCTACGACGAATAATCTTCGCCGCAGGCATGTGGAGATAGATAGTGTGTGTAAGTTTTGTGCAAAGGAAGATGAATCAGAAGATCACATATTCAGATCTTGCAGGATAGCTGACATGGTGTGGAGGAAACTGGGGGGCCGTTATGTCCGACAAGGGCAGACTTTTATTGACTGGATTGATTTTTTTTTGATAATCTGTAGGATGAAGACTTATGCATTTTTGTTGCTAATCTTTGGAGTATCTAGAAAATTCGGAATGACAAAGTGTGGAAGAACCAAGATGCTGATTGGCGCCATTGCTCGGAGATGGGAGCAGCGGTTCTACAAGGATGGAAAACAGCCGAGATAGAGTCCGGAGGCACAACAAGGGTGACATGTCAGGCGACGCGTTGGAAAAAGCCAGCGGAAGGCAAAATTAAGATCAACGTGGATGCGGAGTTAGATTCACATAATAATAGGAGAGCTTGGGCTTGGGTAGCCAGGGCTGCACAAGGCAGATTTATTGGCAGTGGCTGGAATGTGGAAGGCGCTAACTGATCAGCAGAGATCACTGAAGCAGTTGGCGTACGCGAGGCGCTGGCCTGGGCAAAAACACAAGATTGGGGAAGGATAGAGCTTGAGACATATTCCCACGTGGTAGCGGCTGGTTTAGTTGAACGAGATGAGGATGCTTATTTGGATACTATTTTAGACGACATAAGACTTAGTGTTCGTAATAAAGATAGGATAGAACTCATTCATGGTAGACGATCCGCGAATGTAGTAGTTCATAAGTTAGTTAGGGCTGCTCTTTCTATGTCGGATGGTTTTATGTGATTTGTAATCCGCCTGTCTGTATTATCTTTCAACTACACACAGAGAGTTTGAGTTGACTTAATGGAGTTTTTTTCGAATTAATGTTAATTAATTAATTAAATACGAAAATAGGGTTGGGTTAAAAGTATTTACCAATATACTGCTGGGTTAACCGTGGTCGGTGGAAAGTCGCCCAACGGTTGGGCGACTTATAAGTCGCCAAACCGTTTGGCGACTTATAAGTCGCCCAACCGTTGGGCGACTTTCCATTAAGTAAAAATAGCGACCAACCACAAAACAGAACACTGCGAATGAAACCCAATCCCCAAATCCCCCAAGCAACAGCTACAAAGGACGAAGGACGAAGGACGACTGAGCCATTTCCAACTCCGGCGAACTTCCATATCTGGCGACCCCACTCCGGCAAACCTCCATCTTCATCTTCAACACTCTTTCTTCTTTCTTGTAGGTAAATCAAACTCCATTTCATATCATTTTTTACTTAGGGTTTTGAATGTTAAAACTTTGGAATTTTTAGATTATGAAATGTTGAAATTTGATTTGAAATTGATTGTAAATTTTAAAGTGTATTTTGACATTTGGGCATTTGGGTGGATTTGAATGTAGCTAAATTTGGGTATTGAAATGTAGACTTGAATGTAGATATCAAAATTTGGGTATTTTCATATTGAAATGTGAGTTGTTTGTGAATCTTGACTTTTGGATATATTTGAATTGTTATTAGATTATGGATTTCTCAAGCTTCCCAATCGTGTGTCATTGGGGAGGGAACTATTATGAGTATGCTGGTCAAATATGCCATGAAGGTGGTACAACCACATTTGTCATGGTTTGTCGTGGTGCTTGCATGCTCGAGATCCTTCAAAAAATACATACAGCCACAATGATTCATCCTAGCCATTCTTTGCGTTTGAAAATGAAATTCCCATGAACGGGGGGAAAGTACATGCTTATGCCCCTCACTGATGAGCTAGCTATAACAAATATGTGGGCCATAGTTCAGATGGAGGACATGTCAATGCTTGAGATATACTTTGAGGAATCCATATGTGACGCTTATCGTACTCCATCAACATCAAATGCTGTTGTATCTAGGCATTATGTCAATGCGGGTGTGAATGTTGGGAACTCCTCAAATGCTCCTGTAATGGACATGGTTATACAGGAAGATGGTAGGTATTTGCACAACGGTGCATCATTTGTGGATGGACAGGGAAGTGATGATGATGCTGACGACAACATCAATGGTGAAGATATGATAGAATCTGATGAAGATGATGGTGATACGGTCACGGCAACTGCACCGTCTACCCACTTTACTAGAATGTATGATCTCCATGAAGGCTTTACTGATGCGTGACTGAGTGGATCAGGTGAGAAAAGGTTTACCCCCAAAGGTGAGTTTGAGGTCGGTCAACAGTTTGACAACAAAGAACAAGTCATCAATATGGTGAGCTTGTATTCTATCAAACGGAACCAATTTTTTCGGGTGATAGAGTCCGATAAACACAAATGGGTGGCACAATGCAAAAGGAAGAAAGAATGTAATTGCCCCTGGAGAATACGCGCCACAAAGAACAAAGGCAACCTTGACACCTTCACAATTGTGCGTTATCCTGGACCTCATTCTATTACGTGTGTTGGGAACACCGACACTACCGATCACGTGGCTTTGACTTCAGATTTCATCTGTAAAGATGTGATTGACATTGTTCGCACTGATCCTTCCCTTAAAGTGCATACTATCATTGAGATGCTGAAGGAAAAGTATGGGTATACGGTATCATACCGGAGAACATGGATGGGGAAGCAAAAGGCCACATCAGAAATATTTGGCGGTTGGGAGAAGTCATATTCTGAATTGCCCCGTTTCATGACAGCGCTCCAACATTCAAATCCTGGAACTATTGTGCAGTGGTACCCACCCCCTAATACTCCCATATGTTATATGCAGTTTCAAAGAGTTTTTTGGACATTCAAGCCATCAATACATGGTTTTAAGCATTGTCGACCTGTACTTACTATTGATGGCACACACTTGTATGGAAAGTACAAGGGTACACTGCTCGTGGCCATGGGTTGTGATGCGAACAACCAAATATTTCCAGTGGCCTTTGCAGTTGCTGAATCTGAGAATGGGGATAGTTGGCCATGGTTTATGGCATGTATTAGGCAGTTTGTCACTAATCGGGAGTTGTGTGTCATTTCTGATCGGCATGGAGGTATTGTCAGGACAATGAATGAAGTGGGCAGTACTTGGGAGGAGCCTTATGCGCATCATAGGCTATGTATCCGCCATCTTGCATCGAATGTGCACACTCATTTCAAAGACATTCATCTAAAAAATCTTTTTGTCTGGACCGCACGGCAACATCAGAAAAAGAAGTTTGATGGTGGGTTCAAGAAGATAGGTGAAATGAGTTTGGAGGTACGACAATGTCTGGGGAACATTCCCCCGGAAATGTGGTCATTGCACCACGATGGCGGGTACAGATACGGTACCATCACTTCTAATCTGGCAGAGGTTTTTCAGTAGCGTGATGAAAAATGCTAGATATTTGCCCGTCACCGCTTTGGTCCAGGTTTCCTTTTACCGGGTTAATGATTATTTTGTTAATAGGCGTGAAACCAGTAAAATGAGAGTGACAGAAGGCCACGAGTACTCCCCATACATCACAGATTTAATTGATAAGAATAGAGAGAAGACCAAGCATCACATAGTTACTCCATTTGATTTAGGCCGAGGGTTATTTCAGGTGGAAACCGGTTGTGGTGGCCGAACGTTGGGGAGGGGTGGGAGAAAACAAACTGTCCATCTGAAACGGAAAACTTGCACTTGTAAAAAGATGGAGATATATAAGATTCCATGCTCCCATGTGTTAGCCGTGTGCAGACAACGTAGCTTGTCTTATGCTCCATTTGTGGATAAGTTTTTCTCATCTGACCAATACGCGGCCACATATCATAGAGTCTTCAAACCCATTCCTGATCGTGATTATTGGTCTACTTACAATGGACCTGAAATCGTGCACGATCCATCCATGCTTCGGGCTAAGGGAAGACCTAAGTCGGCACGTATTAAGAATGAGATGGATGAAGGTCCCCGATGAACGATTAGATGTGGAAAATGCCACCAAACCGGCCATAATAGGGCCACATGTGCGAAGAGATCATCAAGACACGATGGGGGGTCCAGTGGGTAAGGTGTTAATTATAGTAATTCACAGTTCATCTCAGCGTTGCATGAAAACATATTAATTAATAAAATGGATGATTAAAAAAAGAATTAGTATAATAGTAAAAATTAACTAATACGATTTTGTTTGTTTGTAGGCATGCAGGTGACAGCGGATCCTAGGTCGAGTGATCAAGATGATCATGACAACTTCTACTTTGTCTTTTGTATTGCAGTTTTTCTTGTACAACATTTTAGATAATTTACAACACTTTATATGTTGTAGGAACAATTTACAACATTTTACGTATTTTCTCTTGTATGTTGTATTTATGTGTTGAGTATGAGTATTAGATGATTAATTGTTATGAATGTTTGATGATTGTACTGTGTTTTACCGGTGAGTTGTATGTGTTTATGTGTGTGTTTGGGAACATGTGTGTTGTATGTTTTATAATGTGTTGCATCTCGCTCGTAACACTTAAACAGGAGAAGGGAGACCTTATTTATAGCAAAAAGATGAGTGTGGGTTGAAATGGGGCAAAACAACTGATGAAATTCTGTTTTCGGAATTAGGCATGATCGTGCCTACCCGTGCAGACACGATCGTGCGTGGCTAGCAGTAGCTGTTGGTCTGCGTTCATATGGAAGGGGTAAGTCGCCCAACGATTGGACGACTTTCCCAAACCATGGTTAAACCCAGCAGTAGATCGGTAAATATTTTTATTTATCAACATTATTTTCGTAATTAATTAATTAATTAATTAACATTAATTCGAAAAAAAACTCGAATTAATGAATTAATTTTCTTTTCAAAAAAAATCTATTGCTGGCCAAGATTCCAAGAAAGCGCAAAAGTTTAATTCATTAAACTATAGGGGCAGATGTGAGAATTACAAATCTTGGATGCCTGCAAGTCTGCAGAGAATCAAGAGAAGCTGGAATCACCCACACAAGGGCTCATCCGACCAGAACTATCGTCGGGTCGTTCTCTTATCAGGTGGCGCTCTCTATCGCTTCTACTCTTACGTAAGACTCTGGGTTTATTTGGTTAAGCTTAATTTGATTATCTGTTCATGACGGGCAGTGACATTTTTAGCTGATACTCCATGAATCTATATTGATGAAGTACATTACTGTTATAAACAAGTGAAATACTCTTATTAGGTGTTGTAATGTTTTGTTCTTTTTTCTCTGAAGTGCTCTTATTCCCTGGAGAAAAAAAGCTTAAGGGAATTGATTGTTCATATGTTCTTTTTATTCTTATTTGAAAAAAAGTGCTGCTGTTTCATTTACCACTTGCTGCAGTATTCTGTAAACTTTTTTATGCAAAAAAATGAGTTCTAATATACTCCGTATTAAAATTTGAAGCGTAAAAGCATCTGTTACATTAAATATTTACAAACAGTGAATCTATTCCATCTCTTCATGTACTTTTTTCTCATTGATCAGGCAGTGGAGATCTTAATCTCGGTGAAAGTTTTGATACCCTGAAATGGCAACTGCTGAGGCATCACCATCGTTGGAAATTTTGATTAGAGGACCAGAAGGTTATGCTATTTGGGATGGGCCACCTTTCCCTAATGATCAACCTAAAATCAAACTCGCAACACTACCTTGCACAAATGTGAAGTATAGTGAAGACGGTTCAAAACTTATGGTTATAAAATCCGGCTCCCTAATCAGCGTGCATGATTGTAAAACCTTGAATGAGATTAGGAGTTTTGAAATCCCTGATGTGCTTGCTGCTGAAATTTCCCCTTGTGGAACTTACCTTCAAACCTTCCAGAAATGCACATCCCCTCAGGACAAAAATGTGGTCTTATGGAAGGTGGCCAATGGTGAATCTGTTTTCAATTTATATCAGAAGAACATGACGAAGGTTACATGGTATTCCCCTCTCTTTCTAATTAGGCTTTTTGACGTAAAAATGTAGTATGTCTTAAGTCCTTGCAACTGTAGCACAATTTAGTTTAGATCTCTGCAAGTTTTTTTTTGTTATTGATCTCTAATTCTCAGACAATATATGCTACTTTGTTTTTAGTCTTTATCCAACTCTAGGGCAATCTCTCTTTGAAAAAAACATCAGTGGGGCTCGCATAACTCCTCTCTAAACTTTCACATCAATTTTTGATAACTCGTTGGATCATATTACCGGAGTTAAAGACTAAGCGAACTTATCATTCACGTTTTTAATATAGGCTACCTCATAAATCATGTTAGGCATGTCTGCTTTATTGGTAAGTGGAGGTTGCTACAGAACCAGTGATTGGTTACAATGGAAGTAGTGCTAATTAGAGGGATGAAAAGCAAAAATATAATTTTGGAGGGACCTAAAACAAAAGACACCATATTTACATATACTAAATCACATTTAAGCCTTTTTTGATAATTTTAGAATGGGAAATTCTCAAAATAGGAGTAAAAACAATGTAAAATTCCATAATAGGAGTATTATGTTTTTTCCAAGAATAGAAGTAACTTACTGCCATCTTGAAATTTTAGTGACATATTTTGGCATTATCAGACTTTAAATATGGCAGTATAAGGCCATAAGTAGCAGTATTTTTCAAACATGAGTACATGACAATAATTACTCTTGTTTACGGAATAGAAACGTAGTGCTCATATTTTAGAATTCCAAAACGTTTTTACTCCTACTGAGTGCAATTACTACGTATGTTGTTTCCTACGTATGTTGTTTCCTCTAGGCCGTGCATCAGATTTAGCTCTGATGAAATGGTTGCATGCCGATTGGCAACCAATGAGATGCAACTTTTTGATGGTGGAGACTTCTCAAAAGGAATTGTGCAACGGATGAGAGTTCCGGGCATAGCTGCACTGGAGCTTTCTAAGACTCCTGGTTCCTTTGTGGCTGCTTTTGTTCCAGAGTCCAAGGTTTTCTTTTCAATTTTTAAATAATCACTTACATACTGGATTTATATTTGTGAAACTGAGAGCCACATTGTGTTTTTATGCATATAGGTTAACTGGATCGTAATCCCTATGTCTTGTATCAATTACTCCATATGTCCCTGTTTAATCTTCCACTTTGACCTTGTGCGTAGTTTAAGACAATCACATTGTGTGTGGGATTCTTTTAGAAAGGAAAAAAACAATATCAAATTATAAACCATGCAATTCTTTTCAAAAGCAAGCACAAAATTATTCATGGATTGACCAAAAAGGACTGGGAGGAATTAAGGGGACAAAGTGAATATCTATCTTGTAATGTGGTTGGAAATTCACAAATAGAAGTAAATTTCTTTTGTGTTTCATAGTACTTAAATGGTCGGCATAACTAAGTTCTAGAGGGTCCTTACAAGGTTTAAACTTTACAATGACCTCCGTGATGGGTTTTTATCTTCAAATATCAGTCATATGGATGGGTTACAAGTTATGGTTAAATGAATAATTAGATGCAATGGCTTGGCCATCAAGTGGCAGGTATAACTTCACAAGTGGATAACGTTTAATCACTTTTCGAACAGATGTCATCGAACTGATTATACAGTCTTTCAGTTGATTCCTATAAGATGTATTTATTTTTTGTTTGAAAGTTTTGTCCATTTCTTGGATAGGGAATGCCAGCAAGTGTTCAAATATATACCTCTGGAAAGGACTCCCAATCTCCTGTTGCTCGACGTAGTTTCTTCCGATGCTCCACCGTGCAATTGAGATGGAATCGCGGGTCTACTGGGCTCCTAGTGTTGGTGCAATCAGATGTTGATAAAACCAACCAGAGTTACTACGGCGAGACGAAGTTAAACTACTTGACTTCTGATGGGACTCACGAAGGACTTGTTCCTCTTCGTAAGTTTAACCATCTTCTCATCCTCTTTACCAAGCCATTCTACATTCAACTAAAGAATTTTCTACTTCTATTGTACAAAGATTTTTCAATCAAGAGCCCATTTGGTAAGGTCGTAAGGGGTTGTCAGGGTGAAATGATTGGACTTGCTTAAATTGCGACTGGTATTTAAAATATATTTTATTGATAGTATATAAAAATATCACTGAAGTGATCATCTTCAGCAACCATCTTCAACCAAAAAGTATGCTGGGAAAAGTGTTGTTTTTTAACTTTTTGCTGATATGCTGGGAAAAGTGTATCAAACAGCCACTAAGTGAGATAGACATGACTGAAGTGGATTTGTGCAGGTAAAGAAGGTCCTGTTCATGATGTCCAATGGTCATACACCGGCAATGAATTTGCAGTTGTTTATGGATGTATCCTTTCCTCCCCATTAATTAATGCCTACCCTGACTAGTGACTACCAGCATTGCTGGTTAGAAGATAAAAATACCAGAACCTGGAATATCAGTGTACTGCTGGATTAGTGGTCTAGTGGACTACCTGAAAATTGGGATATTTGCAATGACCATTTTTATTTTAAGGCTAATAACTGTGGTTGCATGCTTGGAACCATACATTTTGATTAGTGGACTCTACCATTTTTATTTTGTTTGTATTTGAAAATTTGTGATAGGTGATTATAATCAGAATCATTCTGTACTTTTAACCCTGTTGTGAATCTTGTTACTCCTTAACACCCTTAGTTATGCCTGCAATGGCAACAATATTTGACATGAAGTGCAATCCTCTTCTGGAGCTTGGTACAGGCCCATATAACACAATCAGATGGAACCCGAAAGGAAAGTGTATCCTTATGTTTTAAGAGGAATTTCCAACCCTCTTCTCTAATAGTTCTCTTTATTTCTTTTCTTTGATAGAAATTCTCCTTGTGTTCCCTTAATATTTTGCTCGTAGTTATTTGCTTGGCAGGATTTGGGAACTTGCCTGGTGATATGGTATTTTATATTTAAAATGTTCCCTTTCCTTTAATTTTACTTAAGTGTTTCCGCTGTTTCCATATTTCATGTCACATATATACAATTCACTCTAGGTGGGAGCCTTTGTGGCACTGGGGTAAATGGGTAATGATGATGATGATGAAGTACTAGAGTATTTTATGTTTTTCCTAAAATAAAACACTGTATTTGAAAGTTTTGAATGTCATTCTCCTTGATACTCAAGTGATAATTCATGAGAATGCAATGTAGTTTGATCTGAGGCGTACGTAATGAGGGATGTCCAGGACCGCTAACTATACATAAATACTTGCATTATGATTTTTATATCTTAGATCAGCAAGTGAATAACTGTTAACTGAATTTTTTAATTACAAGAAAATGCCATGGCCTATTTGTATATCATGCTTGCATGTGATTAAGTTACATCGGGATGTGATTATATCATGCTTGCATTATGCTTGCTGTTCAGGCATTCTGGGATTATGTTGAAAAAAAGAAAATTGGAATTACCAAAGCTGAATTATCAGTGACAAGTGAATGGTCTCCTGATGGGCGTTATTTTATGACTGCCACAACAGCTCCCAGGCTTCAAGTTGACAATGGGTATGCATAATCCATTATGTATTGCTTGCCGATAGTAAATTTGTAGAGCACGAGCAAGTATTGACGAATAGTTGGTTTTGTTAAAGGATTAAAGTCTTTCACCATAATGGATCACTGTACTTCAAGAAGATGTTTGAAAAATTGTACCAGGTGAAAATCTTGACAGCTGTTTCATCATTTGGTTACTATGGAGACTAAATAAATTTCTCAATGGCTGAGTTTTCTCATACAGGTTGACTGGAAACCGGAGTCACCGGATAAGTTTGGTGAGATTTCACAGTTCGTAGAGGCTATGAGCTCTCTGAAAATAGTCGAGCCTAAAACCCAAGGTTAGAAAAGTTAAATCTTTAAAGGGATGGAATTTGGTATGAATTTGGTTGGTAAGGATTGAAATGAAAATTGTTTGGATTTCAGGACAAGGGACAAAGAACTTAAAAACTATACCTGCCAATCCTACTACACAAAAACCTGCTGCTTATCGCCCCCCTCATGCTAAGGCAGTAGCAGCTATCCAAGCAGTGGTACGCAAGAAATTTCCAAGTTCATGTTGTTGATGGGGGCCTTTTAGTTTTTAAAGATTTGCTGCAAATACGATAAAACATGAGTAAAGTGCACAAGTAAGAGTATTTATGTTTAGTGGGACTAGGCATGAGGCGTGGCTGGCCGCCTAGCCCTTATCCCCCTAGGCGCCAACTAGGGTGCCTAAGTATTCCTCTCTTTTTTTGGCAAACTAAGTATTCCTCTTTATTTCTTTATTTTCTATTTTTATTTTTTATGAGTTATTATTATTTACTAATAATATTGTAATACTTTGACAATAGAAATAGCTCATATAGTTATTAAATGGTATGTTTTTGTAGTAAAATTATCAATAATTAAATATTCTCTAAAAATGTTCATATACCAACAACAACAACAATAACATTACCCAAGTGCGGCAAAGGCTCCTCACCTACGGTGGGGTAAAGAGGGTCGAATGTACGCGGTCTTACCCGTGTACTAAAATATTTCCGGATGACCCATGAAGCAAATCGCGTCGAAAATTGTAAAAATGCTCATATACACTCTAAAATATTATACTTCCTCCGGTCCTAAATGAAATTCACACTTACTATTCATTAGTCAACTTAAATCACTCTTAATGTTTTATTTTATATATCAAATTTAAATTTTTTTTATCAGACTTTGTAACGGTTTTAATGTAATTTCTAAATATGTAAATTTTATTTGCTAAAAATAATCCGAGCGTGAACAGGGATCGAGTTGCTTTATCGTCGTAAACCGTGAGTGAATTTCTTTTGGGACCGGAGGGAGTATACATTTAAAACTTTTTTGTTGAAATATGAAAATAAAATTTATTGGAATAGAGTAGTTATTGATTAAACAATGTTTTAAGACAAAGCGGAGAATACAAGTTGGACCAGGAACAAATTTAATTAGGGCTGCCTAGGCGCACCGCCCAGCCGCGTAGGTGCCCGACTGGTTTTTCCTACCGACTACAACAGAATCGAGGCGCCTGACCACCGCCTTTGCCGATTTTTAGAACCATGGTCCTACTAAAAGTAGTTAAAACTTAGTTTAGGAGTACGAATAAAATCATTTGGGTGCACTGATAATTCTTGAGCTACAATAGTTTTTCATTGAAGTTTTCTTGTAGGCTCAGCACAAGATTGGATTTGTTTAGTGTGGGTGCGCTTATAAAAGAAGCTCACAGTTTAGTTAAAGTTCTTTCGTTCTTATCATTTTGGAGTATTAATTATTTAAAAACTCTTTTCGAAGGAAAATAAGAAACAGTTTCTATGAAGCAGCTAAGATAGCAAAAATTGCTGTTTTGAGCTTATTCAGTAGAGCCTACTATTAAAAGGTCCACAGCATAAAGATTGATTAATCTATTTAATAAATGCATAGTCAAGTTTGGTGCTAAAAACAAATGTTAGCTGTGTTCCATGACCTCTATTATAGTTTTCTTAGTTTTTTATTATGAGATTGCTGTGGCAATGCTATCTGACATTTCCATTGTCTTTCATTTTACAGTTACTTGGTGGAAACCCTTCAGGGTAAGGCATAACCATACATAAGTGCTTCTTAATTTCCCCTTTTTATGATTCCAAAATCTGGAGGAAAAACTCCTTACGAAATAGCTAAGCGTTTTTTTTCATGAATGCAGAGATAAGAGCAAGAACGCTCTGAAAAACCAGAGAAAGAGGGAAAAACAGAGGGAGAAAAAGGCTGCTGAAGGTTCATCTTCTACTGCCAAAGAATGATTGGGGGTTAGAGTTGAGTTCCGCTCAATGAGTTGCTTTGATTCACCAGCCCCTCCAAAAAATGGTTTCTGATAGTCATAGAACAAGTTATGTTCCGACTTCACAAATTTGCGTTAACATTGTTTGAGTTGAAAAACAGCTTCCTTTCTATTTATGGATTAAAATCCATAAGTGTATTTGAGATCTGTTACTTTTTTGTAGGTACATAGAATTTGCCTTTTAGTAGGTCTTGTCCCACTCCACCATTGATATTTTTTTGGAGAAAGATGTAATCTTGCAACTCGGAATGCAGGAAAAATTAATGGCTTTTTATTCTGTTAATATATTTAAATTGCCAAGTTTTATACAATAAAATAAATAATTAGAAATATACATTTATACCAATATTCTACTTTTCTCAACATATTCATTATTCTTCACCTTTTACAGTGTATTTCCCCCCGTTTCCTTACTCTAGCCGTCTAGCATTTTCTGCATGGGTAAATGGGTATTACTTCACGCACCTCCACAATTACTTTGCGCACACCCCTTTGACAGAAATGTCCTTATTTAAGTATTTTAATACTCCGCATTTCAGTTGTACATTTTTTTGAAAAACGGGCCTGCTGAATTAATACTCCTTTAGACTTTGTCAAGTGCAAAGTAGGTGAGAAATAAGAATAGTTAAAACTGTGTGGTTGAGATTTGTGCAGATGAGAGAGAAATGTGTAGAACCACAAATTAGTTGCTTTAATGGAAAAGTGTCAAAGTTTTTTAGGACACCCAAAAAAGGAAAGTTGACAAAGTTCAACGGAACGGAGGGAGTAAATAAATAAGTAACTTGTTAATAAGTAATCCGTAAAACACTTTTATTCGAAGAGCCTACTGAACAATCACATTTTTCCCCATAAACTCATTTTATAAAAAAATAAGTTCTACCTTCATGGCTTCATCCCAATTTAATGATCCTATTTCTTTTTTCACTTAATCAATAAATAACACTCTTATTCACTTACTTTATATATCAAATTTTTATCAAATTTGATTTTTCTGTTTGTGATTTTGTAAAGTTTCTAATGTAGTTTTTGAATATGTAAATTTTGTTTACTAAAAATAATTTGAATGTAAACATGAATCTGTTTTCTTTATCATTGACTAAACCTCGTAAACCGCAATCAGATCATCAAAATGGATCAGAGGGGTATTTTTATTCTCTTCAATCTTAAGTAAAATTTTCGGTTTCCTTTTTAAGCAGGTCAAAATAAAGTTTTTACTTCCATTTTTTGTAAGTTTGTAATATAAAGTTACTTTATACTTTTATTTTATGTATTCACTTTACACTTCCCTTCTCTCTCCCATTACCCCTACAATATACTTTTTGTAAAGGTATAATGGAAAAATCAAAACAAAATATTCTACTCTTCTAAAAACTATAAAGTCAAACTAGATATTTTAGGATTGGAGGGAGTATGAGATACGTAATAAGAAGTATATTTTTATCTTGTTTCATATTTATTTTGCACTAGATGTACTTTATTTACTCCGTATGTATAGACATAAAATAAAAATTACACAATAAATTATAAAGTAAAATACCTTTTAATATAATGACATCATTGTGACATTGTCAAAGAGAATGTCATAAGTTCAAAGTGCATCTCAATTAAGGATGTTGACTTTTGTTATGAAACAAATACTATAATGTGGAGTACACTAAAAAATACATACGGAGTACAAAATTAAAGATTTTGTTAAAGACTAGCACAGCACATGTGCATACGCACGGGGAAAAACAGTTAGTCCTTATATATTTATGTTTATGATCTAATTAAATATAACAATGTTTTTTTAGAATTCTATATCATTTTAAAAAGGGAGTACAATAAGTTAATATAAAAAAGTATAAATCCATACCACAAATATTCAAAGTAAAAGAGAATTAAAGCTAAAAAAATCAACACTATCCATTAGAATTTGATACGTAATAATTAGCATTGTTGGTCACAAATAATAAAATATTGAACTTAATTGTTAGAGTTTTGAAAAACTGTTTTAAAGAGAACTTTTAACATCTAATGCTTTTCCCTTCTTATAATGTATTATTAAAATCATCAATCCATATTCTCTCCCTCGATAACGTCATACATATAAAGCTTTACATGACTAAAATATGTCTAGGTAGAAAATTTTCTTCTTTTTCCAGAGATAAAGCTAGAAATTTATTGATTGTCATCACATATGTGACAATTATAGAAAAATGTCTTCACATAACCTTAAAAGGTCTTGAGATAGAAAATATGAGAGAGGAAATTCTCCCGATCAGTTATTCTTTGCTTATCTTATACCTAAAAACACCACATATGAAAAAGAAAAATTCTCCCACTAAATTATTAGTCTGCTAACCTTATACGAGTATTTAAAAGCACTACATATGAGAGTGAAATTTTCCACCTCAATTATTAATCCGTTTATCGTATCTTATACCTAAAAACACTACATATGAGAGAGAAGATTTTTCCACTCAACTATTATTGTAATCCCAGCCAGGATCGAAATCCCAACAGAGAATTCTGAAAAATCTCTTGCAAATGATTCTTGTATATGCAAAAAGCGTGGCAGGCCACTTGGATCAAAAGACATAAAACCAAGAAAAACTAAAAGGCAGTTATTGATCTGTGATTCCAAATATGTTCATCCTTCTGAACAAGAAAATGAACAATTTGAAAATACTGGCATAGAAAATGATATTGACAAAACAAACATCTCAAATGATGATCCAACTTCCCTAAACGAAGAAGATGTTCCAAATAATGATGGAAACGTTAATAATTATAAAATTTCAATAAACTACGTTTCTACTGGAATGCAATGGAATCGAAAAGATGTTGATATTAACGAGATATTTGTCTATGTTGTTGCCACAAATGTTATGAATGAAAACAATGACAATAGCCAACATCAATAGAAGAATGTCGGAAACGACACGATTGACCAAAATGGAATGAAACTATTTAGACTGAATTAAAATCACTTGAAAAATGTGATGTTTTTGGACCGATAGTCCCTACGCCAAAAGGCGTAAAAACAGTAGGCTTTAAATGGGTATTTGTGCGTAAACGCAATGAGAAGAATGAAATCGTAAGATATAAAGCCCGACTTGTTGCCCAAGGTTTTTCTCAAATGCCGGGAATAGATTATGAAGAAACTTATTCTCGAGTAGTTGATGCAACTACATTAAGATTTCTTATTGGCATGTCTGTTTTTGAAATGCTGCAAATGCACCTAATGGATGTAGTGACTGCGTATTTGTATGGTTCACTCGATGCAGACATTAATATGAAAGTTCCTCGTGAATTTAAAATGCCTAAAATTATAGCTCGAAACCTCGAGACATGTCTTCCATTAAATTACAGAAGTCATTGTATGGACTACAACAATCTGGGCGAATGTGGTATAATCGTCTCAGTGAATACCTTCTCAAAGAAGGATATAAGAATGATCCAATTAGTCCATGTGTTTTCATTCGGCGGTCAAATTCGAGATTCGCCATAATTGCAGTATATGTTGATGACATAATTGGAACTCCTGATGAAATTGAAAATACTACAAAATATCTTATGAAAGAATTTGAAATGAAGATCTCGGGAGAATCAAATTTTGTCTCGAACTACAAATTGAGCATTTGAAGAATGAAATTTTCATCCATCAATCCAATTACACCGAGAAAGTTTTGTAGAGATTCTATATGGACAAAGCTCATCCTTTGACTTCACCAATGGTGGTTCGTTCTCTCAACATCTCGGCCTATTCTACGACAAAGATGAAAAAACCGCTTTAATCAGATATGCAGACGCTGGATATTTATCGGATCCTCAAAAGACCAAATCACAAACCGGGTACGTATTTACTTATGGTAACACCGCAATTTCATAGAGATCTATGAAGCAGACATTGACAGCTACATCATCAAATCATTCCGAGTTAATTGCACTATATGAAATCGGAAGAGAATGTGTATGGTTGTGATCTATTATTCAACACATCCAAAAAATGAAGTATGAAGCCTAGTAATCATTCACCCTACCATGATCTACAAAGACAACACTATGTGCATAGCTCAGATTAAAAAAGGTTATATCAAAGGAGACAAAACAAAACACATATCACCAAAGTTCTTCTCTACTCATGACCTGGAGGAAGAAGGAACGATCAACATTCAATAAATCAGATCCAGTGAAAATCCAGTCGATCTCTTCACCAAATCTTTACCCCCAATGAAGTTCATAGAACTTGTACAGAAAATCGGCATGTGCCGTTTTCATAATTTATGCCAAGTTCAGGGGGAGTATTTGAATGCACTGCACTCTTTTTTTCTTCAACAAGTTTTTATCCCACTGGGTTTTTAACGAGACAGTACATCCAAATACAACGACATTATAAGTCGTAATCTTTACCCATTAATTTTTACAATAAGTTTTTAAAATAATAAATACCTATTCAAGGATGAACATTCAAGGGGAGTGTTGTAAAACCACAAAATTGACAAGTGTGAATATTCATCCTTGTAATTATGGGTGGACTCGGGCCGGGTGGCCCGACCCGAAACCGGAACTGTGCTGAACCGGCCCAACCCGATGGCCCAACCAGTGACCAGTCCGGGTAGGCCTAGCCCGGGGGGGGTCCCGGTGCGAGCTCAGGTCACCCAAAAGCCGAACTGGCCCGACCGGTTCGGGCCCGGTTCCGGGCTTTTTAATTTTTTTTTCAACTTTTTTTTACTTTTCGGGTTGGGCTGGGTATTTTGGGCCATTTGGGGTGGTTTGGGGGTTGGGGGTGGGAGGGGGGTTAATTAGGAAAAGGAAATAAAAATTGACCCGAGGCTCGGACCCGGTGGCTACTCGGGCCAATCCCGGGCCCACCTATTCAAAACCGGCAGCCCACCCAGGCCTAGGCCCGACCCGAACCCGAATCCACCCCTACTTGTAATCAGAACACTAATCTAGTCTCCATCCTTGTAAATTGTAATCATAGATAGACAGATGGCTACTTTTAATGTTGCCACCAAATATGAATTACTCTTTGATGATTCATCACCAAGCTCAACCAGTATAAATGGGGGTTTGGTGATGCCTTGTAAACTCACCCAGAAAATTTTCACATATTAAGTAGTAGAATATCTAGGGGTTATAATCTTTATATCTATCTCATATCTATACTTCCCGCGCCTCCCTGACCGAACCTAGGAGTGGACTCGGGCCGGGCCAACCAGCTCGAAACCGAACCGGCCCGCTACTGTGCAGGCCCGGATCGGCCCGATGATCCGGTTGGTTGACCGATTCAGGCCACCCGGACCGGTGGGATGGCGGTTCGAGCTCGAGCCCGGGCCGAGCCAATCTATTTTTTTTTTT